CCTACTCCCTAAGATGTAACTTCTCTCCACTCTAAATAAAAGTATTACTTTATTTGTCCTGGAAAATGATGCAATGGCAAGACAGTATATGTTTTTCAAGCATCTTCCTCTCCTAACTGCTGGGATGTGTGTTGTACTGTTGTACGGAGTATCTACTTGGCGTTAGTCATGGACTCGGGCCGGTTCCGGGCCCGGACGGGCTTTTTTTGGGAAAGAAGAACCGGAACCAGCCCGGGTAGGCAGCGGTTCCGGTCTGGTCCGGTCCGGTTCATGTTATTTTTTTTTAAATTTCTTTTTCTTTTCTAATTAACTCCCGACCCCCCCACCCCCACCCCCCCTCACCCCTCCAAAACACCCAGACCAACCCGGGAGAAACCAAAAAAATTGAAAAAAAAAGGCCGGGCTGGTTCCGGGCCGGTTCCACTTTTAGGAGGCCCGAGGCCGGCCCGATTAACCGGGTACCGGGCTGGGCCCAAACAGTACCGGTTCCGGGCCGTTTCCAGGCCGGTTCTGGGCCGAGCGGCCCAACCCGAGTCCATGACTACTTGGCGTATTAAATACTCTACTTTTTGATCTTATTTCTGAAACTTTTATTTTCTTGTGCTTTTCGCAATAGTAGACCAGTTTGCTTTTAAGTTTTAATCCAATTTGAATGTTTGTTGCAGCTGATGACGAGGATTGATTGTTCAGGAGGCACTCAACACAGAATAAGGTTACTTGTAGCGGTTTGAGCTGTATTTTGGACTTTTTTTTCTATTTTGGCTCGATCAGTCACTGCTTTATTTGTAACATTGGTTTTTAATGCAGTTATTATTTGAAATGCTTTTTTAATCGATGCTGGAATAATGAAATATGCATGCCATTCTCTTGAACTGTAACAATTGTAGACGTCGGATTCGTGTGATAATAGATGACTTGACAACAACATTAACGGTGTGGTTGCACGGAGGGTTCTGGAGGAAGGTTTTTGAAGGACTCTACATCTTGAATAATAATACTCCCTCCTTACCTTAAAATTTTGCCAATCTTTGTTTTTTTGATGAATCATGTTTAACTTTGACCAATTATATATTTTTATTAGAAATTATTTATAACATAAAAGTGATATGGAAATGTTTTTTTGTTAAAATTATTTTCATATATAAAATTTATAGCTTTCATAATACATTAATACTATAGTACTATACTAATAGCTCAAAATTTACTTGATTTGAAAAGTCAAAAGTGGCAAAGTTTTAAAGGATGCATGCAGCATCATGTTTTGGAATGACTAAAGAGTGATTGAAATATAGTTTAATTGTGAATTATGCTTACTTGGAAATGTACTAAAATATTTAGTGTGACATTGCCAACGTTTTAAAGTGGGGGATTGGACTGGAATTAGACAATTAGTGACATCTTTGTTGAGAAAGTAGCAGATGCCAACAAACTAAGAGACACTCGTTATCATGAACTATGTATGTTTTTACTTGGACTGTAATTTGCTGGTCTGGTCTGATCTGGTCTGGTAAGGTCTAGGTTTCCTTGTATTTTTATAACTATCCAAGTCTGGTCTGGTCTGGTCTGGTCTGAACTGGTCTGGTCTGGACTGGTCTGGTCTGGTCTGGTCTGGGGCAAATTACAGTCCAAGTAAAAACATCCTATGTTATTACTCCTATGAGCGTGAGCGTGTTGAGTTCGGAACATTCAAGAGCAAGGAGAACTAGTAGGGATGGATCGGTTCCGGGCCGGGCCCGGTTCGGGCCTTGAACCGGCCGGGCCTCGGTTCAAGGTAGGGGAGGCCTGGAACCGGCCCCGGTAACCCCCGGGTCCGGTTCGGGCCGGGTAGGGTCGGGCCCGGTTCGGTCCTATATACATATATATTTGGGAAAATAGAAACTAATAATCCAACCTTTTAGCGGTCTTCTTACAATAGTCCCACCTTTTGATTATTCATGAATAATCCAACCTTTGCACCTCATCTTCATTCACTGGTCCCTGACCGGTTGATGACCTCTCATTCCAAGTTATTTTCTTATCTTTGCAAACCATTATACCATAAATCTCACCTTTCATAAAGATAATATTTTGCAAAGATAAGAAAATAACTTGGAATAGCAGGTCATCAACCGGTCAGGGACCAATGAATGAAGATGAGGTGCAAAGGTTGGATTATTCATGAATAATCAAAAGGTGGGACTATTGTAAGAAGACCGTTAAAAGGTTGGATTATTAGTTTCCATTTTCCCTATATATTTTTGGGTTTTCCTAATCAACCCCCTACCCTCTCCCTCAACCCCAAACCACCTCAAATGACCCAAAATACCCAATCCAACACAAAAACTTTAAAAAAAAATCAAAAAATAAAAAATAAAAAAAATTAAATCCGGCCCAAACCGGCCGGGCCGGTTCACCAAAATGAAGGCCCGGGCCCGGAACTGGTAGCCACCGGGCCGACCCGAACCGCCCATGGGCCGGGCCACCGGGCCGGTTCAAACAGTGACCGGGGCGGGCCGCCCGACCCGAGTCCATCCCTAAGGAGAAGATTGAGGGGTGTTTAGCCGTTTAGATCTGATTCTTTAAACTGCTTCTGCTCCTTCAGAGAGCAGAAACAGAAGTTGGAGTGTTTAGATGAAAGTGTAGAAGTACTTCGTGCTCCAATTTACTCTTAGAATCCGTTATTTAAGAAGGTGGGGGAGATCGGCTTCTGAAAAAATTGATTCCAAACACCCCCTGATTTTATATTCAACGAAGAACTTTTGACGGCTCCCCTCATACAAGAGGTGTCAGAAATATAAGAAGCACCATCATCATCACCAAGATTGAATTTTATATTATTAATTTATTCTATAAATATAATAATTATAAGTATCCATGTGTTGAATTAACTAATGGCTTACCCTTAACCCCCACTGTGTACGACTACTGTGGTTAATCGATTATGATGACCGGGATAATGTGGTTTGTTGAGAAGCATAAGAAAGAGGCGGCTAGGGAGACAATGCCACCGGCCAAAGACTAGATTGAACTAGTAACCCAGTTCAAACCATGTGTTGAACATTTGAACTGGGTTCATTTTTTTTTGTTGCTAAACTAGCTTCTTGTTTAAAATTTTGGCTTGGCTAATTATCAATCATTTTATGAAACATAAACTTTTCTTTTAAATGTTAAATAAAATTAAATGATGAAGTTGTTAATATATGTTTAATACTAATGTATTTTAGATAAAAACACATTTAAAAACAATACTTCCTTTGTCTTTTATAAATTAGCCAAAGTCCCTTTTTTAAATTTCCAACAACTCGTCCATTTTCTCTTATTTACTCTTTCTCTTATGTATAAATCCAACTACTAATACTTTTATTTATTATTCGACGTGCAAATGTATGTTGGATCACTTGGATCTAGAACTGGAAGTGATTCATCCATGAAGCATCCATAATTTGTTCTAGATGAATAGTGCTATACTGCCATCTACATGACACATCACCATGAGTGATAGAAAATGGTAATCAACGGTGGATTGATCAGCATTATCGACGGATTGTCATTTATGTAATGACAGTACGAATTACCTTGGTTGTTTTGGCGTTTTGAATATACACCTGATGCTAATGTAACTCTGATTATGACTCTATGGTGTGAAATCGCCCCACACCCGACCCAATAGAATATGGATAAGTAAATCACGATATGATGTTGAACAATTTCTGAGTAATGTGATTCAAGACTTGGTGCGCACGAGGAATCACTACATTGGATGAAACTCTCACACTGTCGTTATCAGGAATTGAAAATGAGACCTCAATCCAACAATCTCACTCAGCCACCGTTGGAACCACCGTTGGATTGCTCGTGTTATTGTAAATCTTTCTACTTACATTGGACTTGCCCCTTTTATATGGAAAGGCAACACAAAAGACAGTCAAAATACACTGACTATTATACGGAGTACTTGTGTTACTACAACCAAAGTCACATAGTTTACTCATTTTAAAAGAAGTACCCATTCACATTCCAACCAAGCATCCACGTGTATTAGCTATTGTTTCCTCAATTCCTTGTTAAGATGCAATCAATTGTTACAAAAGTTTAAAAGAATCCGAATTGTCACTTGCACGATTTGGAGACATCTTGAGTGATTTCATATGGGCTACAGGGGTAGAGTCACTAGGCCACCCATTATAGAGATCAAGTTACATGAGCATTTCATATGCTCTAAAAACATTTTGAAGTCAAGAGTGGGAAGCAAGTGAATACGTCTTTTTAACTACTTTGCGGTTCTTCTATAAACGAAAAACATTTTTTTGCTAAAACTTTAAATTTTACTATTTAGATTTTTCCCAAATAGAAACAACCAGAAGTTATATTTAGAGTTAACTTTGTGAGTAGGAACAAAACAATGTGGAAGTAAAAAATTAGGAATAAGGAGTTTCATAGAAATATTGTGAGTGGACAAAACTTCTCTTTTGTCATTAAAAGCGCCGCTGGCCGTCATTGCTGGCCACCAGAAGTCACCGCTCACCGTCTTACACTCAAACTTTGTCCATCATAGGGAAACAATCGTCGTACACTCAGAAGTCGTCGTTGCATGAAAACCACTTCTGTTCTTCCAAGAAATAGAAACAAATATTGAAATATTTGTGTGGAAGAGCAAAAGTACAAAAGTATTTCTAAGTGTTTCAAAAGGCTTGTAAAATCTACTCCTCCATCCCCAATTAAGTTCTCTCTTTTCTTTTTGGGTAGTCTCTGAATTAATTCCCCTTGCCTTATTTGGTAAATTAACGAAATCAACATAGTGTCAAACAATACTACGTATAAAACAGTGTCAAAACAGTGAAGTTTACCCCCTAGTATTTTTTTAATAAGCGTGACAAGCAATGGGGAACTTAATTGGGAGACTCAGGGAGTAGTTTTTAAAAGCTGGAGTTCGATTTCTACAAAATTGATACTAATTTTGCTCCCGCTTTTAAAAAACAAAACAAGAATCATTCCAAACACCTTGTTATAAAATGGAATGAAATAAGCAGGATTGAACACTTAGGAAGATGTTATTAATAGTATGATAGAGGTGTTATTATGGTGTGTTAATTACAATGGAGAAGGATTATATAATGGTGATAATAATTCCTAATTAGGAAGAGTAAGATGACTAATTCAATTATATTTCTCAAAAAATACATTTTTATTTATTGTTCGGACTCGCTAGGTACAGCATTTAAATTCAAACAAGAGCTGTGATGATGGACGGTACGTTGCGACGGTCTTTGCCATTGATGGGTGTCGCCGCCGCAGTGTTGGATATACCGGATTACTTCCACCGCGTTTCCATGAACTCCACAAAGATCACAACCCGATGATTTTTTCAGACTCTCAAAACCTGCAAACATCTTCTTCGTAAGTTCTCGAAGATATTCCTTCATCGAATTCGTATCCTCACACCTTTCCAAAGACGCCAGAGCCGAATCCTCGGTGGAAAAGTCAAACAGCGGTCTTTGCTCTACGGATTGCCGGGGCTCCGACGAAGACGGCCGGCCAGACTCCGGCGACCGGGCTCTGCGTTTCGTGCGGGCTCGACGGGCCCTCTTTTTGGGCTTCGGGAACCACATGGGCCGTTGGGCTTCCGGCAAGGCCAGGATCTCATTCTCCGTTAAATACGCGTTCCCGTCGACTCTGTACAGCCGAACCGACCGGAGATAGACTTCGTCGATCGTCGTTTCAGAGTATTCGCTCTGAAAATCCCGATTCACTCCGACGCCATAACGAGTCTCGAGAATCCAGCTTATTAACATCCCGTAAGGAAGATTGGATTTCTTCACGGATGAAATCATGTGCTGAATCATAACAGACGGCCAATTGACGAGGATCCGGTTCTTAATGAAATAGGTGAAGGAGCTTTCCAGCTTCCCGAGACAATCGCTGTTGTTCCTCACCGGAAGAATGCATTTCGTGATGAGTAGCGAGATGAGCCTCACTTCCCCCGGCAGCGATTGCTTGATGACGCGCTCGCTGCTTCCGTCGACGGGTTTGCCGGACAAATCGTCCATGATAGTTGACGGCGGAGTGGGGAGATCTTTAGCCCAATGATCGCGAGAATACGCGGAAATGCCACGGAGAGGCAGAGAGAGCCATTCTTCGAGATTTTGAGCTGAAAGGAGGATTTCTTTTCCTTGAACGTGAGTCGTGATCGTGTCGGCAGAGGTAGGATGTTTCTTCAGATTTTCGTAAAATTCTCTTACCAGATTGGGGTATGTGGGGTTCTTTAGAACCAGAAATTGCTTTAGAAGATGCTGGATGGAGAGGAGTTGCAGAAAATCTGCGGAGAAATGCTTTGGGTTGATCGCTTTCCCTTCTAAAATCCCTGAAGATGATGAAGATGACATGTTCGACCATAAACCTGAGAGAGAACCGGGAGTTGGGAATAGTGGGGTTAAATAGGCGACGGAACGGCCGCGCTACCGTTAAGCGTCTCCGTCTGTTTCCGTCAGTTACCGCGTGTGTTTCCGGCTGAGGGAGGAACGGCGTTCACATGTGGAAGGGACAGAAGTGGCGTAGCACGTGGGTGGTGGGTCCCGGGATTAAGCAGGTGAATAGTGCAGGGCCCAAACAGGCCCGGCCCGGATAAATGGAAGGCCCTGTTCAAACTAAAATATGAGACCCTAATTCAAAAATGCTATTATTGCTATCCTAAGATCTTTGTAATAAAATATTCCATAATGTCATAATATCCAACTATGTCCAATATGAAACTAAAACTAATGCATTCAGCCACTCTTGTGTCATTGTACACTGCATCCAGATTCATATGTTCTTATTCTAGGAGGTATTATAAAGTTCTAAATTCTAATTTATAAGATGCAGAAGAATCCATAATTACAAATTAAAGAATGAGAACAAAAACACCTGTAATAGAACATGTCCGCTTATCAGTTGCTCGGGGTATAAATTGATTATTGATTAATTGGCTTATCATCCTATCGAGTTGCCGGTAGACGTTGGCTCTGCAGCTCTATTTTCTGCCTTCTGGAATCTGGTCGCTAGACTAGTTGCCTTCGAAAGTCGCAGGCTCGCACACGCGAGTAAGAAGACAGAATTCATTGACCGATGAATCAAGATTGAAGAAGAATGAAGCAATTGGAAGACCGAAATTCGCAGGTTCTGGGAATCGGCTCACTGTCCGTAGCAGATTATATGAGATATATTTAACTTTAAAATACTAACGATAAAAGTATAAAGTTCAAGCGTTTCCGTAGCCGCTTGAGTCGTCAATCTCGGTAATCTCCTCGAAAATTGTGGTGCCGCCCCGTCTCTCGATTTTCTAGTTGTTCGCAGATGAAGCGTCGAATATCCGTATAAGGAAGCGAGGGACATCGGATGAGCCGCTTGCTTTCTCCTTTCCACTTGATTGGGCCGTCTACTCAATATGTTTTGCTAATGACCCAAGGAGTATACAGTAAAGGCTAATAAAAATTGGGGGCCCTTCCAAAATTGGGGGCCCTGTGCAGCTGCACCACTTGCACCTGGGCCGGGCCGGGCCTGGGCCCAAAGCAAGTAAAGGAGGAGAAAATGGCGGAAAGGTGTGGGTTTCGTACGGCTGTTGCCTTACAAACTCCGTTGTTTGGACAAAATATCTTTTTATACTCCTCGTCCCAAATTGTTTTGTACAGTCAATATTTTTTGGTCAATCAATATAAAAGTCAAACTTCTTTATCGATAATTAACTCAATTTTTAATAAATAAAATTTACATGTTCAGAAACTACATTAAATTCTCTGTAAAATTGCAAACTTCAAGTTAGAATATAATTAAAAATTAGCATCCTAATTAAGCAAATAAAATGAAACTGTTTGACCAAGAAAAGTCAAATTTGCAAATCAATTCGGGAATGAGATAGTATGAAAAGTAAGAATCTATTGAGTCACTAACATTAAAATTGGCTAAATTAGTTGATTATGTTGAAATTTATGAAATTTTAGTTGACGTGCTTGTATTGACGGATTCTATTGATTTATGAAAGGATTATGTTTAAAATATTTTTTATTTAAAATAAAGAAAAAAAATATTAAAAAAGATACTATGTAAGTAGTTAAAATGATTATCTACAGTAATTTCAATCAAGACAATCAGCAAAACAAATTCAACCTTATTTTTTCTTATCATTATACAATTCAACGTGCGAAATCAAAAGTTACGTGTTTGATAAAAAATTAAGCCCAAGCCCCACCAGAAGGCTTTCTTATTTTTTATGAAAGGATGGTAATACAAATGCAAAAAATTATATGCAAAAGAAAATAAAAGAATGTAGAAATTAAGTATACGGTAAACCCCTTTCCAGCAAACAACACCCACGAACAATCAATTAAAATAATCAAGTAGTGAGGAAGGACTTCATCCAGAGACCAGAGTGCACCGTTTTTCTTTTCTCTTTTTACTTTCATCTAGACTGCACCTGTGAATAGGCAATTAAAGAACAAGGACTAGCTCAATTCATGTGGTTGTTACAAACTTACAAATATAACAAGTACGTATGAATCATGTCAATACAAAACTATGTTGTGATAATCGGACAAGAAGGGTGACTTTGGAGAGTATCGGGTCAAGGGTCAATCACGACTTGAAAGGACCAGCCCGGTCAGAGGTGGATCGAACCGGTCAATATTTATTGATAAAAATATGCCCCGTATAAATTATACATCTAGTGAGTTAAAGGTGTGCGGCGAAGGTAAACCCTAGCCGTCTCCCCTCTCTTCTCTTCTTCTCAATCAGGTTTCTTCCTAGCAATGTTTGGGATTTGTTATTGCTCGTCAGTGAATTCGATTGGGTGGAAATTTTATTATTGGTGGATGACAATGCTTTCCTGCTTGATTTGTTTGGGAGGTTTACATCAGACATCGTCGACACCAAGACCTCAATTATTTGCCCTCCTCCTGAACCACCGACGTGCTATGAGAGAAAGATAACGTTCAATTGGATCTCCTTTTCGGTGATTGGTCAAACCGATGATATTTGCAGGTTCTTTCCAACTGGTCAAACTGAAGATTCTAGTTGTTTCTTTTTTTTGTGGCTGGACAAACCAAATTTTCTATTATTTCCTTGTTTGTGGATGGTGAAACCCATTTATATGTTTGTTTTCGGTCGATTAGTACTTTTTCTAGTATTAATTATTGGTTAAGTAACAAGAGCTTCTATGTTGATATAGGAGTCTACATATTTGAGAGATTAGCGTATTGTTATGCTTCTTTGGAACTATTCAGTTCTATGTCTCATCCCATTGTAGCCTTAGGCTTTGTTTGTAACCACTTGTGCTTAAATAAAAGCACTTTTTGGGAAAAAGTGATTAGTAGTAAAAGTTGGTAGTGTTTGGTAAAATAAGTGCTTTTTTGTATGATAGAAAAAGTAAAAAGTAGATTCTACACGAAAACCGAGATAGTAAAAGTTGGTAGTGTTTGGTAAAATAAGTGTTTTTTTTTTTTAAAAGCCAAAAGCACTTATATACAGAGATTGCAAACAGAGCCTTAAGCTATCAGGATTACTTTCGTAGTGATCATTTTTATTATTAATAAATATGGAGTAGTATTTCTTTAAAAAAAAATTAATAATGAAAAATTTTAGACTTAGCTCATGGAAGTATAGGATAAAAACGTATAAGTAAACAATTTACATAATAATTTAAGTAGGTGTCTAGGGTTTGAAATCCTCTATCGATCGAAACATTAAAGTTTAAATGAAGTAATGTGTTGAATCAACGGGTTTGGTCTAAATTACGGGTCTCTTCGAGTTTCAAGCGGTCTGCGTTCGCTCCAGTTTTGGGCTGGGTGACCGGGTTTTGGATTGGACTGCCTAGTCCGGTCCTCATAACACAGATAAAAAGAAGATTATCACATCTAGCTATTTCTAAGTACGATGCATGTCTCAATAAAACAATGTATATCGTGTATGTAGCCTATTTCTAAGTCCTATATGTGTATCATCCACGACTTCCTTTCTTATCATACACTCCCACTACAACAATACCTCAAATTCAAAGAACGAATGACAATACTACTTCTCTAGAAAAAAAATATGACCCAAAAACATAACCCAATCCAGTTATCAGCAATCTAACCCATATTGGCTAGATTATAATAAAATCCTTTATAATCTATAAAGGATTTTATACACAAGCACTTTAATCTGATTCAAAATGTTTGTCGTGGTTGGCGGTTGCTAGCTTGTATGCAAAATAGGTTTTCATTTGTAGCCTTCCATACCAAGTACACCGTAGAAATCAATGCCAAGTATACTGTTTTACTTCCTTTCCTTGCCCGTCCACAATCATCCTTACACTTCTCACAACTCCGATAAGAGTAAAAGTATTCCTTTTAAAATTCAGCCACTACCAATAGAAGACTTTAATCTTTGAACATTTTCATACCATACATTTCTTGTTTGGGTCAAATATCTTTTATCTGTGAAATTGAACATCTTTCTAGCGGATACTTATAGTTTTATGTGATGCCTATTTTAACATACAAAATATTTTATGTAGATTTTGAAAGAAAAGTGTAGTTGTCCTCAATATATATGAGAATAAACTATAGTGTGGCGACTTTCCACTTGTTTGTTTGAACTTTGAAGAATTCAATTCCTTCAATTTTATTTGGTTTAATACTCCGTATTTCTTTTTCACAAGCTTCTCCCATCCTCAACGGTTCTAATCCTCAGTCCTCACACCGTTTCTTTCATTTAAATTTTCTTTTTCTTCATTATATTGCCTTTGTAATTTTAAAATTCATATCTTTCTCGTGATCATCACATTCAAATATCAATGTTTTTCTTCAGGTATTTAATCATTATCGATTTTCAGGCGAGATATTAGTCATTAATCCTTATCAATCTTTTAGCCATTATTTAAATCAAGAAACAATCATAATCCAAAAACAAATTTGGAGCGTTGCAATGTTCAAAAACTCAGGTGCGTCATGCATCATCTCACGGTCACGTGAAACTCGGGCAGTTTGATCTAAAAGAGTTGCACAAGTTCAGTACATAACCCATCCAAGCGATACTGATTAATCCTTGAACAAATAAGCAGACTGTAAAACGAAGTACCTGTTACAATTAAGCCTTCTTTATTTGGGCCTAAGTAGATTTGATGGGCCACTTGTATATCCATTTCTTTCTTTGTTGTTTGTTATAGTCCAATTACTAATAACCGAATGGTAGTTAGTCGGTTGAGGATTGTATAAAGGCTGGCTGTATCATCAGAACGGGGCATTGCTGAGCTAATAAACTTCTTCTTCCTTATTCCTTCTTGCTGCTATATCCATCTTTTTCTGTTTGTTTTGAATGTATTTCTCTCTTCTTGCTACGTTCATAACAATTTGGTATCAGAGCTAGCTTAGCATCCATGGCAAAGATGAGTAACACAGATCGTATTACTCAATTGGAAGCTGATTTGGTCAACATACGACAAGAACTTGAAAAACTCAATGAGGTGCAGAGAACTGATTTCTCGAAGCTTGCAGAATTGAGTGAGAGACGATTCGAAGAGGTCATAGCTGCAGTCAAAGGAATCAATGGGAACATCCATCAAGAACATACTCCTCGAAGACAGGATTCAGGCTTGATTTCTACTCCAGGACATCAACGTGGACTCAAATTGGAATTTCCTCATTTCAATGGTGAAAATGCTAGGGGATGGATCAGAAAATGCGAAAGGTATTTCTTAATCAATAGCATGTCTGATTATGAGAAGATTGTATTAATTGGAATGTATGTGACTGGAAG